GGTGGCGGGCGGGAAAGGTGGCTGGCGGCAGGGCAGCAGGCTGATGGGTACCGGTCCGTCGGGGTCCGCCCTCCCGCCAGTCGGACTGAGGATCGGGCAGCGCGCCTCCGCCCACTCCAGGAAGGCCTCCTTCCTAGAGTCTGCGGCCGGCGCCCGCTGCGCAGGCCATTGCTGGCCGGCCCGCTCGCTCCCAGCTGACAGCGGCGCGTGCGGCGAGGCGTGCGGCGGTGTGTGCGAGCGCAGCCGGGCCTGGGCCCAGGCAACGGCCGCAACTGCGTCGTGCGGCGCCTCACCTCTCCGCTGGCTGGCGGCGGTGCCGCCATCGGCCGGCGGCGCGAATCGGCCGTACTCTGCTGGCGCTGCCGCCCCCGGAGCGGAACCGCCATCGCACAGCACCTTGCGCAGCTCGCTGCTCTTGACCTTGTAGCCCAGGGCCGCCATGGCGGATCCGAGCTCCTGGAAGTCGAGTGACGTGGCAGAGGCGGCCAGCGGAGCGCCGCCGAGGAGCGCCGACGCGTTGCGGAGTTGGTCGGCCTGCTCTGGAGTTATCGAAGACGAGGAACGACGGCTGGTTGACAAGGTGGCAGGTCGTCTGTCGTCCGGCGAGCTCCGCCGCGGTGGCGTGAGCATCGCGAGAGCGGAGCGGTTGTGAGGCAAAAAAAGAATATATTTTCCGAAGAAAAAAGAAAGTCAGCGCGAGCACGACACTAGGCACGGGACTGGCGCGCACTGGCACTAAAAGAATTTCGCGGCAGGTGGATGTGAGGTTGCCAACTGCACTCCAAGTGCTCCAAGGTTCGTCATTTTTTGTGCGCTTCTTAGCTCCCCGGCCCTGGTGCCTGGATGTGCGGTTGCTTCTTCTCTATACTCTAAAGAGTAAGACTAAACAACGAAAGACTCCACTCGATCTCTCAAAAGACAGCTCCGATGCGGCTATTGGTATTGCGGCTCCGTTGGGGCTCACGCGTCGGAGCGCCGGAGCCCCGTTTCCGGCACACTGCTGCGCGGCGCACGGTGCCTCCGGGGGCCGCCGCGCCCCCCCAGAGTTGGGTTGTCCGTCTTTCTTTTATTTTTACACTATCCTCCCAACGGCCATGGACGGAAAAAGAATTTCGTGCACCGATCACTCTTTACGCAGCCGTCCGCCTGCGCACCCTCCTCACGCCGAGGCTGACCAGTGCCTCGTCGCACCTCTCCACCTGCCTCTCCACCCCCCCCTCCGCCGTCTCTCGAGCGAGCGCCCGCAGCGCCGCCACGCCGCCGACCCGGTGCCACTGCTCAGCGCACGCAGACGAGGAGGTTGCGAGGGCGAGGAGGGCGTTGATGCTGGTTCTGCGCCAGCCATTTTCCTCGGGATGGTCGAGCCGCGAGAGCAGCAGCGAGAGGCAAGTGTCGTCAGCGGGGAGGTCGGGACGGGTGCTGGCCAGGTACACAAGGGCAATGGCAGCAGCGAGTTTGCAGTCGTCCGAGGCGCCTGCCTCCTGCGCGAGAGAGGAGAGGACCGCCACACCGCCAGCCTCCACGACGCCCTCGTGCGTGCCAGACGCTACCTCAATCATGTTGCCGAGCGCCACCGCGGCACCACCCTTCTGCCTCTCAGTCCCATCGCGAGCCAGCGCGATAAGGACGTCGATGCCGCCGGCCGCTGCGATCGCCACGCTGTTGTCCTGGTTGACAGAGAGGTTGAACAGCGCCCCCGCCGCACCCTCCTTCTGCCCCTCATTCCCGTCGCGAGCCAGCGCGATAAGGACCTCGATGCCGCCGGCCGCAACAATCGCCACGCTGTTGTCGTGGTTGGTAGAGAGGTTCCACAGCGCCCCCGCGGCTTCCTCCTTCTGCGCCTCATTCCCGTCGCGAGCCAGCGACACGAGGACCTCGATCCCGCCGGCCGCAGCGATCGCCACGCTGTTGTCGTCGTTGACAGAGAGGTTCCACAGCGCCCCCGCCGCTTCCTCCTTCTGCCCCTCATTCCCATCGCGAGCCAGCGCAACAAGCACCTCGATCCCGTCGGCCGCCGCGATCGCCACGCTGTTGTCGTCGTTGACAGCGAGGTTCGCCAGCGCCCCCACAGCGTTCTCCTTCTGCGCCTCATTCCCATCGCGAGCCAGCGCGACGAGGACCTCAACTCCGCCGGCCGCAGCGATCGCCACCCTGCTCTCATCGTCGTCCCGGGCAAGCTCCTGGAGCGTTTCCGCGACGTCCACCTTCTCGTCCTCGTCTCCAACCTGCAAGAGGGCGACGAGCGCGTCCACCCGCCTGCCGCCGGCCTCCTCTCCCGACAGCCGCTTGAGCTCTCCGAGCGCAGCGGCTTGCAGCTCCGAGGAGGCATCGCCAGCGGTCTCCACCAGCCGCGCGAAGGCACCGCGCGGCGCGCAGATCAGGGACCACCGCTTGCACACGGCCGCGTGGCGCAGCCCCGTCTTCTCGAGCACGCACGGCGCAAGGTCCGGGTCCGCGAGGACGTCGGTCGCGACGGTGGGCGGAGGGCTGTGGTGCGCGAGGAGCGCCTCGGCCCTCCTGTTTGCAGCGGGGCTGTCCCGCATCGCGCCGGCGGTGATCGCGATCAGGGCATTGGGCGGAAGAGCGGCGAGCCGCAGCTCGTAGCGGGCGGAGGCGAGCATCCTAAAGCTATAGCCGCAGCCACTCCCAGCTACTCGTGAACAGAGTTCATAAGACCGCAAGACCGAGGCCCCTCGGTGTTCACAGCGGAGTGGCTGGGGCTAACCAGACAGGGTCACGCGCAAGAACCGTTTGTTGAGAAGAAAATATTGTGATATGGCGCTGTGCGCTGGTCTATCTATGAGAGGTTGAGGTGCGAGCCTCCGGGATGGGGGGAGACACCGCGGGCGCATTTCGCACGAAACACAAAAAAGAAAATGTTCATTCGCTAGCGCGCTCGCGCCGCCCACCTCATCGACACGCTCATCGTCACCCGCCACGAGACATATGCGCCCACCGCTCCTTGTCGCACTCCTACTCGCGAGCGCACGGGCGCTGGCGCCAGCGGCACTCGCCCGCGAGGCGCTCGTCGCCTACCGCGCCAGCGAGGAGATCGTGGCGGCCGACAAGGTGCTCGCACGAGCACTGCGAGGCGAGAGTTCATTCACTGACGCCGAGCGGCGGGTGGCAGCTGACGTTTTCCTCGGGACCGCGACGCGGCTGCGGCGGTACGAGTGGATCTGCGCCCAGCGCGGACTGTGCGGCGCCGCGAGCGACGCCACTGCGGTGGCGGCGGCGCTGCTCCGAGCGCGAGACGAGGACGACGGCGCTTACACATGGCCGGCAGACGCAGACGAGAGGCTGAGCGCCACAAGCGGCGCTCCGCTCTGGCTCTGCGCGCGTTGGCGGCGCGACCTCGGCGAAGCAGTCGCCGCCGCCGTCGCCGACCAGTCGACGAGGCGCGGGCCGGTCACGCTACGCGTGCGCGACGACGTCTCGATCGGTGCGGTCGAGGAGGCGCTCGCGGCGGCAGGAGTGGTGACGGAGCGGCCGCCGGCGGGCGTCGGTGCGCCTCGAGCTCTCACCCTGGTTGGCGGCCGGCCGCGGGGCGGCGTGTGGGCGCTGCCCGGCTGGAGTGAGGGCGAGTTCGAGGTGCAGGACGCGGGCTCGCAGGCGATCGTCGAGGCCTGCTTCGACGGCGGCGGCGGCGGCGGCGGCCGCGGCGGCGGCGGCGCGCTCGACATGTGTGCAGGCAATGGCGGCAAGAGCCTTGCCCTGGCGGCGCGAGGCAAAGAGCTCTGGTGCCACGCCTCCCTCGACCATTCCTTGAAAGGGGCCGCATCCTCATAGGCGCGAGCCTACGAACTCCTGGGCCACCACGGGGACGTCCGCCGCCCCCGCGCGGCTCGCCCCCTCCACCCAAGGTGTGACCGGGTCGTGGCCTCGCCGTCTTTCTTACCCTTACCGCCAC